GGCACATAGTAAATGCTCAACAAATACCAGCGATTTCTGATATTTTTATCATTAGACCAAGACTAAAATTTCACCTCTGCCCGGGGCTCCCAGTGTCTTGGACATCCCCAGCTGCCTTTCCTACCTAGACCTGTGAAGAAATCACAAAACCGCTCTCTCAGGATCTATCTTGGCCCAGCTTGGATGACCAGGGGGTCAGCTGGTCCCCGATCCTGTGCCGTTAAGTAGAGTCCAGGGGGCTGTGGAGAGAGGGCTGGACTGCTGCCCAGCCTCACGGGCTTCCAGCCAGATCCGCCTGCCCCGGAATCTGGAAGGAGCAGCACTGTGGCCCTTTCAGGGGAGGGAGGGCGAGGCCGGCCGCACCTTCTGTGTTCCCTTCCCGCAGGGCAGCTCTGCCCGCCAGTCATTTTCTTGGCAGCTTAACCCCAGAGGTTCATTGCAGTGCTAAAAATAGGCTGTGTTTAGACATTCGGAGCTCCGCCTGGAAACACGGGCTGCAGTAACCAAATGCCACCATTCCCGCCGAGGGGGACCCTGGGCCACGTCCCTGAAGAAACTCCCGCGAGCCCTGGGAGGGGAGCAGGGTAGGCGTCATCTGCCACGCTCGACAGATGGGGAAACTGAGGCTCAGAGGGGTCTCACGTAAAACAAAGAGGCATGAAGCGATGGTTACCAGCTCTTAGCAAGCACGCACTCCATCCAGCCTTAGGGAGCCTCTCATTGAATCCTCCCCAAGCCCCAGGAGGGAGAGTCTACGGTCAAACCCCACTTAATGGAGAGAAAGCTGCAGCTCAGAGGTGATGACACCTGCCCTGGCCTCATAGCTGTGCTGACCAGGGAGGATGCTAATGCGGTCGCGGTTTCCCACGTGCAATGAAAAAGTGGAGACTGCGAGGCGGAGGGGCTTGTTGAAGGCCAACCGAGCCCCCACCCGAGGCTGTGGATGCGCAACCTGTGGATCAGGGAGGACCTTCACACCTGCTCACAGGCTGCCAGGAGGGACAAGGTTGTAAGAATGTGTTTGTAAAACCTTTAAATAGTGTCCGGCATATAGTAGGCGCTCAACAAGTGGCAGCTAGCTTCATTTCCCCATGATCTTTGGGGTAGAGTTTCTGTCTGAGAGAGAGAGAGGTGCTTGTGTGGGGCGGAAACGATGGATGGATAGGAGAGGCAGAGAAGACTTTGGGGTTCCCTTGGGTAGGTGAGACTGCGGCTCAGCAGGGACCCTGAACCCCTGGCCCAGCCAGAGCTGAGTAATGCAGGATGTCACCTCCACAGAGCCTGAATGGACAGTGCTCCGAGGCGGTCACCGGGTGCTCTGACACCGGGCGTGGAGCCGTGGGTGTAACTCAAGCCCTGGTGGGGAGGCTGGTCCCTGATTCTTTGCATTCATCTCCCCCACTGGTGTTTCCTGGGGACCCACCGCACCACATGCTGGGGCTAACGCAGTGAGAGAACAGACACGGTCCTACCCCGTGGGGCTCAGATCCAGATTGCTCTCCCTCCCGACTCGCCCCTGCCTCCCAGCACTGGCAGGGTGGTATGGGAGGCTCAGCACCCCCTTCCCAGGAGGAGCCCCTCCTCAGTCCCTTCCTGGGAGGCCCGTTCACTCCCCACCCCACCAAAGCCTCCGTCTGTTCCCTGACAGTTCCCAATGAGCTCATCATCCCCTTAAAACCCACTTGGCACCCACTTAGAGAAAAGATGTGCTGAAATAGAAAAGAATGAGAAGGGGACAACAGTAAAGGAGTGGGCCCAGAAATACCCTCAGAGAGAGAAAAGGCCAGGGAGAACACAGCAGCCCAAATCTTTGCGACAGCTGCTTGGCAAATGGCTTCAGAGGCTGCTCACGTGTGCCCATGAGAGGCGGGGGGGAGCGGGGCCCTTTTCTTGAGCACCTACTATGTGCAGACACTCTTACCTGCAATTTTTTAAAAATATATTTTATTGATTTTTTACAGAGAGGAAGGGGGAGGGATAGAGAGTTAGAAACATCAATGAGAGAGAAACATCGATCAGCTGCCTCCTGCACACTCCCCACTGGGGATGTGCCCGCAACCAAGATACATGCCCTTGACCGGAGTCGAACCTGGGACTCTTGAGTTCTCAGGCCAACGCTCTATCCACTGAGCCAAACCGGTTAGGGCTGCAGTTTTTTTAAAATGTATTTTTATTGATTTCTGTGAGGAAGGGAGAGGGAGAGAAAGATAGAAACATCAATGATGAGAGAGAATCATTGATCAGCCACCTCCTGCACCCCTCCTACTGGGGATCGAGCCCACAACCTGGGCATGTGCCCTTGACTGGAATAGAACCCAGAACCCTTCAGTCCGCAGGCCGATGCTCTGTCCACTGAGCCAAACCAGCTAGGACCTCTTCCTGCAATTTTTAATTCAATCCTCCCAGCAATGTATCTGTGTGATGTCAAGATTCTTATGTTTACTTCACAGATGAGGCACCTCAGTGGGTGCAAAGAGGTGTCTTGCCCCCGTGGGAGAGGCAGGATTTGAACCCGGGTCGGCCTGCCTCCAGAGTCCATGCTCTTGCCTGAAAGCCTCTGGAGGGTTGGTGACCCCTGTCCATCCCATGAGGGCTGCTGGCCTTTTCTCATTCTGACACAGCTGTAAAAACATCTAGCATGTTCTTGCACATGGAACACCAGGAGGCACCATCCTCTGCCAGGAAGCTTCCAAGTGACAGTGTGATCACAAAACTCCCGTGATCCCCATGTGCAATGTTAGAGCCCAGCCCAGGCTCCTGAGCTTGGCGTCCCAGGCTCCCCACGGTCCAGCCCCTGCCCACTGCTTACCTGTGTTCCAACCATGCCCAAAGCTCCTTCCCCCACAGGAACCCCCCTTCATCTGTGCAGTTCCTCCTCCCTGGGGTGTCCTTCTTGAGAGACCTGCCAGCTCAAAGACCCTTATTTTTCAAACCCTTACTTTTCTGAGCTCTCACATTCCAAGGACTCCTCACCCCCTGGTCCTCAAACCCCCTAACATTGTAAACCCAAATATGAGGGCCTATGTACAAGCATTCTTTTCTGTGCGTATGTCTGTAATTTTCATCAGATTCTCAAAGGGATACAAGACCAGTCTAGACACAAGGTTAGGAATACAGCCTGTGAAATCCACTGGCCCTGGGTTTCACACCTCAGCTGCCGCTTACTAACTGTGTGGCCCTGGACAAGTTACCTAACCTCTCTGAGCCTCATTTCTCTCCTCTGTAAAATCAATACAGATCTCCCTCATAGAATTGTTATGAGGATGAAATCAGAGTATTATGTGTTTAGAGCAATGTCTGGCACACAGTAAGTGCTCAACAAACATGAGTTATTCATATTAATTGCTGTTCTATATCTTATACTTACATCTACTACAGGATTTATCACTGTCTATCTGTACAGTGATTTAGTGTAGTGATTATTTAAATTGCTGTTTCCCAGGGGAGGTTCTGAGTTATCTGAAAGCAGAGACTCTGCATTATTTATTTCTGCATCCCAAGCACACACAGATAGGCAAGAAACACGTGTTTTTAAATGAATGGAAGAATGGGTAGCTGAGTGGATAGGTGGAGAGTTAGATAGATGAATGTGCTGTTACAGTTCAGATGGGTGGATGGATGGATTAATGGTGGGTGGATGGAGGTGTAGGTAGATTGATGGTTGGATTAAGGAATGGATGATGGATGGGTGGATAGATTGTGACTTGATAGATGGATGGGTATGTGGACTGATGGATGGATTAAAGGATGATGGAGCGATGGATGGATCAATGGGTGAACAGATAGTTTGACCCCACCAGAGCATGGATTGGGGGCTGTTTTGTTCACTGATCAGAATAGTAACTGGTGCATAGTAGGTGCTCAGTACTTAGTTCCTGGGTGAATGGAAAGGTATATGGGGGATTGGCCATCTCTACCTTGAACCACAGTTAATTAAATTCCCGTGCTACTGTCTGGATTAGGAGGGACTGTTACCATTCAGATGGCCCAGTGGCTGACAGTTGAATCCATGCTTTGACCAAGATTGTGATGAGGCCCCCTGCTGGTGTTAATATGAAACAACACCCGCCAAACTGAGTTTTCTTTTCTCTTTTCTAATTTACGTTCTATTTTTCTCCTGGTGATGATCCTGAAGGTTTACTCTTAAAGCAGTGGTTCTCAAACCTTTGTGCTCATCACCATCACCTGAGGGCACCTTGTTACACCTTAGGTTTTCCCTTCTCTTGGTTGGAGAAGTCAGGCATCTTTAACCAGGCTTCTAGGTGACTCTGAATCCGATGCTTCTCAGACCACACTCTGAGGGACCCTGTCCAAAGTGTGAGCCCCTGCTGGTCACTTGGAGGCAGTGCAGATGGGCTGCTGCTTCAGGGACCGTCTCCAAATTCCCAAGTGACGTCCAGACCACGTGGGAATAGGACACGGTCCAAAAGGCAGTGGGTAAGAGCTGTGGTTTTACATTTGGACGATCCTGAGTTCAAATCCCAATGCCACCACTCACCATGTCTGTGGCCTCAGTTTCCTCAGATGTAAAATGGGGAAATAATGACTTCCCATAGGACCATGGGGAAGACTAAATGAGATAATACACAGAGGGCTTGGCACAAAGCAGGGTAAATCGTAGTGAATGAATATGTTGCTAAATAAACCTTTTATTTTTTCCTTTTCTTCCTTGGATAAAGGAGAGGGACCATGGACTTGATCTCTCCCACTAGAATGTGAGTCTTTCTCATTCACAGCTTATCTCCAGCACCCAGGACAGTGTCTGCAACATATAGTAGCTGCTCACTAAACTTTTTTTTTTTTTTAAATGGCTCTGCTGGTGGGGCTCAGTTGGTTGAGCGTCCTCCCATGCACTGAAAGGTTGCTGTTCCCTGGTCGGGGTGCACACAGAAGGCAACTGATCCAGAGGCAACCGATCGATGATTGAAAATGTTCAAGAGCCTTCGAGCTCTGACCTCTGTGTGGAAGCTTCTCATGCCTGTGTCTGTGCTGCGTTGCAGGTGGCAGACCTGAGCCCTGATGCTTGACCGGATGTCAGCCCGCCAGCTTCTGTTTCCACGAGTGGACACACAGAGCGTGGTCCCCAGCTGGGAAAGAAGCCGGAAACGGCCTTGGTGAAATAATCCAGCCCCAACCGGCCTGAGCAGCTAAGAAAGGCGAGGAGGGCACTGTGGCTGCTGCTGACCTGAGAATCCTCCTCCACTTGCTCCTCTCAAAGCTCTTTGGGGCTCTCTGAGGCCAAGAACAAGATGTAGGAAAATGGGACCAACTCCTGGGTGTCCTGAGCCTCAAAACTCCTCTTGTGGCCCAAAGACACTCACCTTGACCTTGGGTGGGCTGGCCAGTTCTGTATTCCGTTCTCTTGGCCTCAGCCACATGCTAGACGCCCTCCAGCTCTGATCCTGGCAGTTGCCTTCGCAGAAGGAAGAAGACTGAAGGCTCCCAGGGGTTCCAACCCTAAGGGGAGCTGGGGAAAGGAAGCCCCCTCCATCCCTGCCCTGTGGCCCCTCCAGCCAAGCCCCGGCCAGCCAGTCCGGAATGATCCCGCTATGGCCAAGCTCTGGTTCAAGTTCCAGCGGTACTTCCGCCGAAAACCTGTGCGTTTCTTTACCTTCCTGGTGCTCTACCTGACGGCCGGGAGCCTCGTCTTCCTTCACGCTGGCTTTGTGGGCCAGCCGGCCGTCTCCCAGAACCAGGCCAGCCCTGCCGCCAGGGCCCCGGCCGAGGTCGCCGAGCTGCCCTTCCTGGGAGACTGGCATCTGGGCAGAGGCTTCAGGGACGCGGGGGAAACCTTGAGCCTCGCCCACAGATATGGACACGGACCCTGGTTCAAGGGCAAAGATGGGAATGAGAGAGCCAAGCTGGGCGACTACGGAGGTGGAGCCTGGAGCCGAGCCCTCAAGGGGAGGGCTGTCCGGGAGAAGGAGGAGGAGCGAGGTAAGAGGGGCAAGCCGGGGGGGGGGGAGGGGGGGGGGGGGGGGGGGGGGGACTTCAACATATGGATTTTAGAGGGGACACAACACCTCTGATTTTATTCCCACTTTTCAGGCAGGAGAACAGTGTCTCTGGGAGCTTGAGTAATAAATAGCACAAGGCCACTGCTGTGTCAGGATCTGAACCCAGATCTGGTTGACCTCAAAACCGTTCTTCTCATATGTGCTATTGCCTCCTGTTTGTGAATCTACCCACAGACAGTGAATAAAAGGAATACAAATTAGTCACAGTTAGCTACCCTTTTAACAAATCACCTTTATTGAAGAGAGCAACATTTCTTGGAGAAGAAGATTAACTGAAGCAAAAGACAAAAGGAAAGGAAATGAAAAAACACCACGGGGAGGGCATTTTCCCAAGCTCAGCCCTTGCTGGTCTCTGGGCTTGAGACAAATAGCCCAGCTGGGGCGACTTTGCCATCTCAGCGATATGTGCACCACGGTGGAGACGAGCTGATAGATGGTGTGGCCTCAGCCATTCATCTACCCTCAAGTGGCCTGTGACATAGTCTGTCTTAGACCCCTGGCCTCCCCTTCTTGTCTGAGGGATTCTGCCGCCTGGGCAGGATTTGAAGGCGGGGCTCTGGGGAAATGGCTGAAGTGGGTTGGAGGCACCCACACTGGTGAGCTCGGCGGGAGGGAGAACTCGGGGACAGGGACCACGTTGTGTTTGTCACAGCCTGCACTGAAGTGTCGGTGGGGAAGGCATCCCCAGCCCTGGCCCAGGATGGGGAGGAAACCGCCCCCATATCCATACTTTGGCCAGGAGAGCTCAGCTACTCGGCAGGTCGCAGTGTGTAATATGCCCATGGGCCGTGTGTCTTTTTATCCCTCCTATTGACAGATAAGGGAACAGAGCATCATCTGTCTGTGCCACAAGTCTCTTTTTATAAATATAGTTTTATTGATTTCAGAGAGGAAGGGAGAGATAGAAACATCAGTGATGAGAGAGAATCATTGATCGGCTGCCTGCTGCACGCCCCACACTGGGGATTGAGTCCACAACCTGGGCATGTGCCCTGACTGGGAATCAAACCGTGACCTCCTGGTTCATAGGTCAGTGCTCAACCACTGAGCCACGCCAGCCAGCCATACAACAAGTCTTTACATGGGGCATCTCATCCTGATGCCTGGCCCAGAGGAGGGAGAGGGAGGGGGTGCAACAGCATTTAAAAGCCCATGTTTGGGGGCACATAAGTCAGTGCTCAACCACTGAGCCACGCCAGCCAGCCATGCAACAAGTCTACATGGGGCATCTCATCCTGATGCCTGGCCCAGGGGAGGGAGAGGGAGGGGGTGCAGCAGCATTTAAAAGCCCAGGTTTGGGGGCACATGACCTACAGTTGAATCCCAGCTCTTCTCCCCAGGCGCCAAGAACAGAGGTACGGAGGCCAGCACAAGGCGGCTGCACCTGGGTACCCGGTTTTTTTCAATCGGAAGGTGATTCAAGCTCTCGAATGCACTACCAGCCGTGGGCAAACTACGACCCGCGGGCCGGATCCGGCCCGTTTGGAATGAATAAAACTAAAAAAAAAAAAAAAGACTGTACCCTTTTATGTAATGATGTTTACTTTGAATTTATATTAGTTCACACAAACACTCCATCCATGCTTTTGTTCCGGCCCTCTGGTCCAGTTTAAGAACCCATTGTGGCCCTCGAGTCAAAAAGTTTGCCCACCCCTGGTCTAGACCCTCACAGCTGCACAGACCCAAGCCACTCAGCTTGAGAATCAGCGTATCAGTCAAGGGGCAAAAACCCATCTTGAAATCTTGAATCAGCTTAAGCTAAAGAGGAAAATGTACTGGGACTTGTCCCCAGCTATGGAAGGGGCTGGATTTTTAAATGAATGATTTCTTACTCTCTTCTCTGCTGTGTCTGCCTGAGCTTGGTTCTTCAACACAGAGTGACTTTGGTACCAGGGATTGTGGCTGTTGGTAGCTCTGGCCTTAGAGAATGCCAACATCATATCCCAAGGGAAACCGATCCTCTCCCCCCTCTCCCCCCCCACTCAGCTTTAATTTATAAGAATCGAACGAATGGGTCATGTGCCCTTCCCCAGAGCAATCCATCACTGGCTGGTGGGAGAGACAATACTGATTGGCCCTGCCAAGGTGAGCGTCTCCCCGTGGTCACAGGGCATGATCCCATCTGTGGCAGGAGGGACATACGTTGTTGAACAAGCACAGTGATGAGACGTGGGCTCCCCTAGAGCTGTCACCGTGTGATACGCCTGCTCCAGGGAGGCGACGCTTCTCTTAAAAGATGAACTGTTCTTAGTCGACCAGATCACCTCTGTCTCTCGCAAGAAATTCAAGGTGATGGAGGTCGAGGCGCATCTCCTGCGGGGCTGACAAATCCTGCACTTAGCAGAGTGGTGTTGAGGGGCACCATGCAGTGAGCCGGCTCCCTCTGCTAGACCCTGCTCTGCAGCAGGAGTGAGGGGGGCGAGAAGCCCGCAGTTTAGACAGACAGCAGCCAGCCAGGGAGAGTGAGCAAGCGGCATGTGGTATTGGCCTCGGTCATCCCTATGGGGGCCGTGTAATTCCAGGGCTGGCTGGATCCTTCGTCCAATTTCCAGCTACTTCCTTCCAAGTGGACTGGAGGAAAGAGCACTGGTTTGGGATCCCATGGAACCTTTGTTCTGGTCCCAGTTAGCCGCAGCGTTCAGGCAGACCATTTCACCTTTCTGGGCCTCTGATCAGTCATCTAAGAAGAGTGAGTGCCCCGGCCAGTGTGGCTCAGGTGATTGGGTGTCATCCCCTGCACCAAGAGGTCACCAGTTCAACTCCTCGTCAGGGCACATGCCCGGGTTGTGGGCTCAGTCCCCAGTGGGGGGCATGCAGGAGGCAGTTCATCGATGTTGCACTTACACTGACGTTTCTATCTCTGTCTCTCTAAAATCAATAAAAACATTTTTGAAAAAAAGAAAAGAAAAGAGTGTGAGCATGCCAGCACTTCCCCCTTCACGTGGGTCATTGCAAAGCTTCCCAGAGTTAAGAAGCAGCAAGGATGGGCCAGAGTGTATGGGTCCAATCCTGGGTTCAGATGCGCAAGCTGGGGTTCCTTGGGCAAGTGACTTAACCTCTCTGGCCTTGGTTTCCTCTTCTGTGTAGAATGGGGGTATTAGTACTTATCTCATAGGATCATTGTAAAAACTCAACGTGTAAAGCACCTGGAAAATTCTGTGTCCAAATTAATAGTAATTGTCAGACCTATGGGAAAGGACTTTATAAATGGTAAGTGTGATCTTCGTAGGTGAGAATTGCTATTTACCACGAAGTACAGGGAGGCATTTACTACCTTTAAGAAAATGAAGTACCGCCGAAACCGGTTTGGCTCAGTGGATAGAGCGTCGGCCTGCGGACTGAAAGGTCCCAGGTTCGATTCCGGTCAAGGGCATGTACCTGGGTTGCGGGCACATCCCCAGTGGGAGATGTGCAGGAGGCAGCTGGTCGATGTTTCTCTCTCATCGATGTTTCTAACTCTCTATCTCTCTCCCTTCCTCTCTGTAAAAAATCAATAAAATATATTTTTAAAAAAAAAAGAAAATGAAGTACCTAGTAGATGGTCATTGGATGTAATTTAAAATTTCCCTTCGGATGGAAGCGTTCACCTTGGCCCACAGTGAAGGCAACCTGTAAAGTTCACACGCAGCACTGTGACTGGCCAGTGTCTTATCCCCTCCCCTTAACGTCGGGCCTGCTGTATGCAAGACACGATGGTAGAAACATCGCCACAAGTCGTCCCCTTTTAACCTCGCTGGGTTGGTATTCTCATCCCCACTATGAAGAAAGCTAGGCTAAGAGAGGTTAACTGGCCCAATCCCCCCAGGCCAGGGCTAGAAGGTGACCAAAGTGAGAGGAAGGCCTTGACCTTGAGTCCCGTGTTCGTTCTAAGGGAAATATCTTAAGGCCTCTTGTAGAAATAATAACATGATGTCGAGGGTCAGGCTCTTCAGAGCTGTCTCAGTGTGGGCCTCATTGCTTGGATTCCCTCATGCCCACTTGTCACCAGTGGAGCTCGGGGTTGACCTTAACCCTGGCCACAGAGGAGTCCCCTCCTCGGCTCTACTGGCCTCCGGGGTCCACAGCCTTACCCCTGGGACCCCACTACCCTTAGGGACCAGGTTCTACCAATGCCCATGACTGTCAGTCTCTCCTGCCTGCTTTTCTGCTGAGAGGAAGGAATTGGTACCAAGAAGTCCAGGAGGCCACACAGCCAAGGACCTGCTCACTCCTGTCAACCTTTCAGCCTTGACCTCAGCCCCATCTGACTTTTCTCCTCTCCCCAAAGCCAAGTACATCGGCTGCTACCTGGACGACACCCAGAGTCGGGCCCTGCGAGGCGTGTCCTTTTTCGACTACAAAAAGATGACCGTCTTCCGTTGCCAGGACAACTGTGCAGAACGGTAGGGCCCCGACGTCCCAGGCTCCATTCATTTCGGACCCCTTCCTTCTCAGGTTCCTGCCTGTGGTGTTCTTTTCCATGGGAGCATGTGATGGAGGGTGAGCATGTGGCCACAAAGAAAGGGTTTTGTAAGGCTGTGGATGCATAAGTTCGTGCGTGTGCGCACGTGCGCACACGCGTGTGTGTGTGTGTGTGTGTGTGTGTGTGTGTGGCATGCCTTGTGCTGAAGGTGTATACAGGTGGCAGTCAATATGGCCATGGTTTGTGTATGTGGAGAGGTGAATGGGGGTATAAGACACCAGGCGGGGATGAAGGCAGGTGGGTGGTCCCTAGGGGTCCTGGCCCCCAGAGCCCTCCCATCCCCAGGTCTCCTCGCTGGGTGAGTCTCCCTGTCCCCGGGGTCTCCATGGCGGCAGCTGCCCTGGCCTGACCGCAGCCTTCCCCAGGGGTTACCTGTATGCCGGGCTGGAGTTCGGCGCCGAGTGCTACTGCGGCCACAAGATCCAGGCGACAAACGTGAGCGAGGCCGAGTGCGACATGGAGTGCAAGGGCGAGCGAGGCAGCCTGTGCGGCGGCGCCAACCGCCTCTCCGTCTACCGGCTGCAGCTGGCCCAGGAGTCGGCCCGCAGGTGTACGTGAGTTGGCCCCTGCCCCTCTCTGCGGCTCCTTCCTTGGCCAGCGGGCCCTGGCCCTCGCCTGCCTACCTGCACGTCTACCCCGCACCTTCCATGGCTCCCATCACTCCCATGCTATTGGCTGCCCTCCAAGACTGCCGTAGTCCTGCCCAGACTCACCTCCCACCCACCCCGTGCAGAGCCCTTTGCTCCAGCTGCTTGGCATGTTTCCAGCCCCCCGCTTCTCTCCCACCCTGAGTTGCCTGCTGGACCACTTGCCCTCATCTTCCTCCTTCATCCGAGCTAGAGCCTGAGCTGAGCCTGTCCTTCCTGAGTTTCTGAAAGCAGATTGTCTCTAATGATGATGACAATGACAATAACAATGACAGTGGCAAACAAGGCACCCTCTTCTAAGTCCCTTGTATGGAATAGTACAGCTAATTCTCACACTCATGCTTCAAATAGGCACTGAGTCACCTACTCCCATTTTACAGATGAGGAAACTGAGGCTCAGTGTCACATAAACAGAGAATTTAAACCAACTCCAGAGCCTATGTCTTTAAATGCTCCCGTGGAGAGAGTTCATTCCTCGCTTGTCAGTGCTTCAGTCTTGTTGGAAAAGTTCTCAGTTTCCAACCTGAGGGAGGGGGGAAGGGGGACGAATGGAGAGGATGGGAGCCGGGCCTCTGCTGTGGACACCGTCCCGCTGTCCCCTCTGTGGATGTTTAATAGCAATTAATATCTGAATGTCAAAATCTGCCCTGTTTCAGGCACCGTGCTAAGCCCACGGCAGGACCCATCTCATTCACCTTCCCTACAACCTTTCTGGGCAGGGATGTTACCATTGAGAATTTTACAGTGAGGAAAGCGAGGTTTAATGAATCTAAGTAAACCTGCCCAGGGCCATGCAGTCTAATTAAAGGTGACCTTCAGACCTGTAAAAAGAGCTAATGGCCTTGACAAAAGATGGGGGCTGAGGATGGTCCTGTTTACCCTGGGGCCAGTGCTTCCCAAACTTGACCGTGCAGTTGAAGCCTATGGGGATCTTGTTAAAATGCACATTCTGATTCAGCAGGTCCGGGTGGGATACTGCGTTTTTAAGGAGCTCCCAAGTGATGCTAGGCTGCTGGTCCAGGGACCGCACTTTAATAAGCAATAAGGCCTTAGGCCCCAGTGGAGCCGATAAGGCCCGCCTGGAATGCAGGCTTGCCCACACAGAACTTCACGCCTGTCTGCACGCACAGAGAGGCCTCTTCCACGCGAATGCCATTGTTTATAAAAATTAATCCATGGTCTGCTCGATAATGTATTCTGTTTTACAAACGCCATGTTTTTGAAGCCTGGTTCAAGCTTTGCTCTGCAGTAGGGTCGAGTGAGCCTGCTGCCAGTTTGCAAAGGGGCCAATTTCTGCAAATGGATGCCCCACCCGCCTCCCTATGGGTCTGCAGGCCTGGCTGGCAGAGGGCGCAGGTGGTGTATGAAAAATCCAGGCTGGAGAATGTGCACACAGCCAGTTCCTGGTTTGGCCATTCATGTAATGAGGTTTTAATTTGATGGTAGATTTATCATCCCCATCACTGAACACTTGTGCCAATATTTATGTTGTTTTGATGGTGGCTTTGACCATCTGAAGAGATGGCCTTCGTGTCATGGTATTTAGAGGGAGAGATGCTGCCACTAAAACAACCCAGTGGATGGGATGAGCCAGGTAACAAGGATGGGGCTGTGAGTGTCATTAGCCAGATATCGGCCAGATGTCCTCTTGGTTAATGTTCAAATTGGACATTCTCTCTCTCTCTCTCTCTCTCTCTCTCACACACACACACACACACACTTCTGAGATCACCTATTATAATAACATGCTCACTGATCATCTGGGACTTTCTAATAAGCTGAAATATAAGTCTCAACACATGAAGATCCCTAAACAAGGGTGTGTTTTGCCCTTGTAACAGTAGGAGGGCGGGATGGTTGCTTGCGAGCCGCCCCTACAGTGTCTAGTGGAGAGACAGGCCCAAGACCACTGGGGAGGGGTATGTGCCAAGGGAGCAACATTGGAGCTGAATCTTCCTCAAAGGAGATTTCCAGGTGAAAGAGAGAGCCTTGTGTTCTAGCCACGAGCAATAGTCCAGGCTCAGCAGAGTGCAGGTGTTGAGTACCGTGTGGGAAGCGCCTTCCTTTCTGATGTCCCATTTTACAGTTTTGGAAACTGAGGCCCAGAGAGCAGAAGTGGCTCAATGGAGCCTCCTTCGGGAAGGCTCCCAGAGGAGGGCTGTTTGATTAGGGCCTCGAAAGACACATAGGATTTTGCTCATGGAGAAGAGGGAGATATCCAGACTCAAGACACATTGCCAAGAGGTGGGAGAGAAATCCAGGCAAAGGGGATAGAGTGAGCAAAGCCTGGAGAACGGGAGGCTCCAGGTCACCAGCACATGACACTCGCTCGTATTCCACCCGTCACAGACACGACCTGCTGCCTCCAGGAGGCAGGGAGGACGGACACCAGGTCCCGTTTGTAGCATCACCCGTTGGTATCAGCACTGTGTCGTGACTGTGTTTCCCCGAGCAGTGGCACAGAACTCTTGAAGACTGTGCGGACTCAAAGGGGGCTTGTTACCTTCCAGGCACCGCTGGGGCGGGTGGGGGACATCCACCTTCCGTAGGGAGGTGCTGGGAGGCTCCCACTGTAGCAGGCGAATGAAAAGGTTGGCAGAGCAAGTGTCTGCAGGCACCCTGCTATTCTGCCTTGACACCGACTCTCGCGGACCCTTCCCCATTGTTAAAAAAGAACCAAGAAACGGACTTCCTTCTTGGTTGGATTACACTTTTCACAGCAGCCGGCTAAATGTGTCGGCGAGGGCAGCTCTGCTCCAGGGCCAGAGACCTGCCATGATTTGAGAACATCAGGGCTTTATCGGGTGTTGCAAGAAATGTCATTTGCCTGGAAGATTCTTGCAAGATTTGTGTTGCAAGGTCCATCGGAACAACGATGTCAGTCCCGTGGCGGCTGTCCATGGTGCTGACCATCCTTGAGCTCTGCCTAAAGTCTCCATGTCTGCAGGCCAGCCTCTCCCAGGGCTCAGCCCTTTTTCCTCTCATTTTGCCTTTTCTGTGGGAAAGTATCACAAAGCTTACATGATCACTGAACAAAAAAGATCCTTGACATCATGGTTCACAATTCACATAGTGGATTTTGTGTGCCATTGTGAGTTCTGGTGTGTTTTTTTTTGGTCTTCCGAAGTTAGAAGGGGAATTTTGTTCATGCTGGTGATTTATGCCCACTGATACTCCATTCTGACCACTTCTGCTGAGGGGAGCCTCAGATGATCGCCGGAAAAGTCCCATTTTGATGGATAGACCAACTCTAGCTCCTTCTTTGCCTGGCCTGCAGGCCTCTCCTTGCCCTTGATGTATGTCTGGGAGTCCTGAATTTTATCATTCATGCAGACTTTCATGAATTATGCAGTGCAGAACCAAGGAGATGGTAACTAGACGTTCTTTTCTCCTTCTCCATCATGAGGGGGGAGAATTGCTTAGCTGTTCCCCCCTCCACACAATCCCAGAAGGCTGTGGGAGCGACACGGGTTTTGAAGTCAGGCGGACATGGTTTCGATGCCAGCTCTCTCACTTATTTGCTCTGTTGACCTTGGCCAAGCCACGTATTCTCTTTGAGCCTCAACCGCCTCATCTGTAAAATGGGGGCAATTCCAACCTTTAAAGATTGCTGGGACCCCCTCAGATCAAATGGGGAAAGCACCCAGCACAGTGCCTGTTATGGAGTATTTGTAAACACCCCTCCCATCTTCTTAAAATGAAAACTCCTCAATCTATGCTGAGCAACACCCAGTTCAGGTTATTTGAATTTGCACAAGCCCACGGGAGCCTGCAGTGGTGCCCGGAAATGGCTGGTTTGAATTCTTCTCAGACAGTTAGGCTCTTTGTGTAATTCCATCTCTCTGATTATAGGGAGCTGCTAACAGCTCCCAGCTCGCTGCCTTTCTTCCTCGCCTGCATCTTTAATGCAGTGGAGCTTGGCCTAATTATCGGGGGGGGGCGGGAGGTAGCCTCTTTCAAACCAAGGAGAACTCTTCCACGCCTGCCTTTAAGCTGACGCCTGATGACATTTACTTCATTTTTTGTGTGAAGCCCCAGAACAAAGAGATAATGGGACTTCAGAGGCACTTGCAGCTGGTTCCGGGCTGTTCTTCCTCTGCCCCCAGAAGAGAGAGTTGCTGAACAGTTGCTCTGCTCGCCTCTCGCTCATAAAAACCCCAAGCCGCGGAGGTCACGCCCCATCTCAGCTAGCCTGGCAGTGAGGAGCTGGCTCTGTCGGAATGTGGGGCATGGGCCCTTGTGATCCTCGGGCCCCTGCGGTGGGGCCTGAGAGGGTTTCTGGGAAATGCACGGGGCCGGCACGGGATCCCTGGGGCTCCACCACGTGAGAAGCGGCAGGCCTCCCGCAGAACAGCAGAGAGGTGGGAACTAGGATGTGATGTCAGGCAAGATTGGGGTCAAAGCCCAGCTCTGTTCCTCGCTCGCTGTGGGACTTGGAAAAGTGATGGAGTCGTGTCACATCTCAGGGTCTCTGTCTGCAAAGCAGGATCAGAGTGTCACCTACCTCACAGGTTGCATTGAGGATTCATTCCGATACAGTGTGTGTAACATCCTTGGCACCAATGACACTCACACTGCACCAACCGCGCCCCTTGTTTGCGCCCCTTCTAGAAAGGGATGTGCAGCTCGGAGTTCTGAAAACAACCGAGCCCAGTTTTAAATGGGCCTCATGAACCTTTCAATAAATTTGACTGGGGCCACTTTTTTTCAGTTTGTCTTTATTATATTAAAATCTACATATTCACTGTAGAAAAGTTTTACAAAAAAGTTGGGAATAAAAATTGCCTATAATCCTACTTCTTATCACTCAAGAGCTCTCCAGGGAAACAGAACCAGGAGGAGGTTAGGTAGGTGGAAAGACACACAGACGGATAGAGGGATAGAAGGTAGAGGTATTTATATTTATTTAAGGAAGCGGGCAAGTCCAAAAGCTGCAGGGCAGACCAGCAGGCTGGCAGTGCAGGCGGGAGCTAATGCTGCCGTCTCCAGGCAGAAGTCCTTCTCTGAGAAACCTGTTTGGCTCTTAAGGCCTTCAACTGATTAGGTGAGGCTCACCCACTCCTTGGAAGGAAGTCTCCTTACAGTCAACTAACTGGGATATTTCCAAATGGGGTTATTTTAAAGGGAGTCCCTCCCACATCAGTCCCTTGCAGCCTGCAGGTGCTCAGCACGGGCTGGGTTTTCCTCCTAAACCCCCAGGTGATGGGAGGAGAGGGCTACCCTGGTGCTGTGAGGAGAGGCAGGACAAACCTGGGCCCTTTGCTGCCCTCTCTCCCGTCAACCCTCCCTAGCATCTCTCAGCTCCCTGAACGGGGAGTTGCCGTGGTTGAAAATGAGGAAGCGAGACATAGGTGTGCTGACAAAGAAGCGGGGTGATGTGGCCCAGCAGGAACATCCCCGTGACCTGGATTGCTGACGGATGCCAGGGTGGAGGAGAGCATTGAGCTATCTAGCTCGTTAGTCTCCGTTTTGCTTCACTGTGCGATCTTGGGCAAGACTCTTGCCTTCTCTGGGCTCTCGTTTAAAAGTGCTTCTGTCAGAAGGTGGTTCTCCCAGCCTAGATCTGATGACCCTTTTTCCCTCTGGCTCTGCAGATGGAAGCGCGGTCTTCCGAGGCTGCTTCCGCAGGCCCAACAACCTCTCCCTGGCCCTGCCCGTGACGGCCGCCATGCCAAACATGTCCGTGGACAAGTGCGTGGACCTCTGCACAGAGAAGGTGAGACAGGGGGACCAGAGAGCGGCGGTGTGGAATGGCTGGAGGAACAGGATGCTGGGCTGGAGAGGGATCCTGTGATCTGTGACATGGGAGAGGGTGTGCCCGTGTCATCTGTCCCCGAGGTAGTAGTTACACAGGGTCAGGTTCTCTCGCAATAGTGAGGAATACTCAGGAATGAACTGGGCCTAAAAGCGTGGCCTTCGGAAGATTGCCAGGTAAAGGCAGGGATAGTCCCACCTTAGGACGGAGTGAGTTCCCATCACTGCTAAGAGAGACACCAAACCTACTCTGGTAAAACTCGTTGGACCCAGCCTTGTAGGAGCGACCTTGGCTCGTTACCAGGTTATTCCTGGGCCAGCCTCCGGGGGAAATTCGGCTGTAGGGTTTGAGTAGAAACAGACTGAACAATGGACAGTCAGTCCCCTGCCCTCCGACTCTCAGGTCGTCCTGCTCCCACTTCGCTGTCCCATAGAACAAACAAGGCCATTAGGAGCCGCTCTCCCAGGGAAGACTGTGGTCCACGCAGGTCCCAGGATCCTCTTCGGCCTGAAAGCGTGGATCCAGGCAGCTTTCCCTGAGGCATGGGTTCTGTCTCACCGTCAGGCCAGGGACATGGACCGTGGCGGGTTACACGCCGTGAGAAAGGCATTTACTTCTCAGTTTTCTTTCCAGTTCCTCCAGGAGAAAGCTCATCTCAGTGCTGAAGTGTCTTGAACATGCTCTACCCTCAATTAATCTCCCTTTTGCAGGAAAAATGGAGCCGACACAGGGCTCAGTCTTGGCAGGCAGGTCTTAGTGAGAACTTAATTACACTGTTGTGTGTCCATCGTATTTGCATTTATAGTATGGAAACCATGGAAGCCGTGGGAGTGGTACAAAGCTTCCTTGGAAATTTAAGTCCCAAAAAGTGAGTGGACTGAAAGGAGACAAATAAATAGCAGGGAAACAACAGAAAATGGTTACCATTAAAGTGGCGGGTATGTTAATTAGCTTGATTGTGATGATTAATTCACCACGTATACATCATCTTAAAGACATACTGTTTTTGCTTGTCAGTTATACCTCAGTTAAGCTGGAAGAATACCATAGTGCAGGAGGTACACAGATGGGGCCACGTTGTGAAAGTGGGGTTCACTCATGAAGTTTCGGGATCCTCAGTTCGGGAGAGGGATGGAGACAGGAAGACTCGGCTGCTCCGTGTCCAGGGCTTTAGCAGAGTTCTTCCTCATCCTCTCCCTCTCCCTCCCCAGGAGTACCCGCTGGCAGCCCTTGCGGGCACCGCCTGCCACTGTGGCTTCCCCACCACGCGATTCCCCCTGCACGAGAGAGAAGACGAACAGCTGTGTGCCCAGAAGTGCAGCGCGGAGGAGTTTGAGAGCTGCGGGACCCCCAGTTACTTCATCGTGTACCAGACGCAGGTGCAGGGTAAGCCAGGCCTCCCCTAGCGGCCCCGCGTGTTCTCCCAGGGCCTCCCTCCCAGAGGTGCCCGGGACAGTCCACTTCACACAACCCATACTGTGCAGGCCAGAGGGTGGAGGTGGAGGGCGGAGGGCGGAGGGCAGGGGCAGGGCTGGTGACCTTGACCAGGCTTAGAGATCCTGAGGGAGGCCCAGGCAAGGGGGGTGGGTTCCAAGGACCCTCAACTCTATCCCTCATACTGCAAACCTCCTTGGTAGCTTTTTTCTTGAAATGGAGACTGTGGCATTGAGTGGGAACGCATCCGGGCTGGGAGGGGGAGGCCTGGGTCTCCAACACAGACCCACTGGGTGATCTTACAGATGGGGAAACTGAGGCCCAGAAGAGATTCCATCATGTGCACTGGGTCGAACGGCTAGGAAGTGGCAGGGGTGGGACTCACACCCAGGCTTCGTCTGCCCCTGCCCCTGCCCTTGACCCCTGCTCATGCCCTGCTCTTTGCAGACAACCGCTGCATGGACAGAAGGTTCCTCCCAGCCAAGTCCAAGCAGCTCATCGCTCTGGCCAGCTTCCCAGGTGCCGGCAACACGTGGGCTCGCCACCTCATCGAGCTGGCCACCGGCTTCTACACCGGCAGCTACTACTTCGATGGTTCTCTCTACAACAAAGGTGAGGGGGCTGCCTGGGCTCCAAAGGGCACACTGGGAGGCCACGGGACTACCCTTCCTGAGCACCTACTGTGTGCTGCTCAGCTCAACCGAGCATGTTTATTGAGACCTACTATGTGCTTGGTACCTTCCCTTTGCTTAGATCACGGCAGACATTCCTTGAACACCTAATGTGTGCAGGTACCTCAACACAGACATTTACTGACCAGCAACTCTGAGCTGTGCACAGAGATCCAATAACTACGTTCACTTTGGGGACATTGATTACCTACTGCTATTTGTCAGGGAATCCGAGAATCTCACAAATTGTAGAAGGGCCCTTGAGGATCATTTGGTTCATGGGTCCAGAGTGGTTTCATCTCATGTGTCAGTTCCAGTGAATCCCTGCTTTAGGACGATGTGTTGAGAAGGATTATGAGCTTCTGTTCTCCTTCAGGAACAAAGTGCCTTGATCTAGTAGTGATGCCTGTTGAGGGTGTAGAAGGGGGAATGGCCTACTTGCCAGGTACAGACCTTCTGTGCACACCCCCCAAAGTAAATCACTTGTCACACATAGCACTGGGCCCATGGTAGACATTCAATAAATGCCAACAATTGTTAGTATTAATAGTGACATGAATATATGAGTAATAATGAGGGCCATGATGAAGGAGTGCCCTGGGTAGAGGAACATAAAGGAGAAGGATACCTAAGTCAGCCAGAGACCTTGCAAATCATTTTATTCCTAGTTCCCATCCCAGTGCCTCGCACATAGTAGGTGCTCAATAAACACATAAGAGAATGAAGGCCTTCACAAGTGAATGTGTGAGACTCCAGAAGGGGCCCAGCAGGGGGCGGGGTGGGTTTCTTCTTATCTCCCCACCCCTCCACCGCTCACCTGCCACGTGTCCTCCTCCCCCCACCCCCGATCCCCTGTGGGAAGGGTTTAAAGGTGAGCGGGACCACTGGCGCAGCGGGAGGACCATCTGCATCAAGACACACGAGAGCGGCCAGAAGGAGATCGAGGCCTTCGATGCCGCCATCCTGCTCATCCGCAACCCCTACAAGGCCCTCATGGCGGAGTTCAACCGCAAGTACGGCGGCCACATCGGCTTCGCTGCGCATGCGCACTGGAAGGGCAAAGGTATGACTAGGGAGAGGAGGGGTGCAGAGGAGAGGGGTCCTGGGGTGCAGCGGGCAGCGCACTGGGCCAGTGCTGTCTCCTGCGAGGAGTCCAGGAGTGCCTCCTTGAGGGCATGCGTGAGACTCCGACCCTCAGTTTCTAGTGCTCTTCCCACATCCCACCCTCTGCTAGCATCACCCTCTGGGAATTAGGCTGGGATGCTCCAGTGGTTAAGGACATGGTTGTGGTTAAGGACATAGTTGTGGAGCAAGACACCCCTGGGTTCTAATCCCAGCTCCGTCACTTCCTGGATAAGCTTCCCCACCTCCCTGAATTCAGATCATCCCATCTGTAACATGAGGGCGGCTCTAGAAGTTTAACCCTGCAAGCCACTCAGTAGATGTGACCCATGATGCATTATGGAAATGGAGACCCTCAGGTTGATGTGATCTGATTGATGGGAGGAGGAGGAGGTTCAAGAGTCAGAAGACCCAAATCCAGACCAAGGTCAACGGCTAAGCGGCCCTGAGGTCGCCCATGAGGTCCTGAGGGGTCACTTTGATGAACAAGCCCAACAGCTCTGGGTTGGGAGGCTCAGAGAGGTTAAGTGTCTGGCCCCCAGGTCACACAGCTGGAAAGTGGCAGTGTTGGCCCCCAACCACCGAACTTCATTAAGATGACCTGGGTTTGAGAGTCAACTCTGACGTTGTGAGTAGGTGGCTGCTGCGTGGACGGATGTCTCAGTGTCGGGTGGGTGGCAGCCCAGGGTCGTGGTGAGAACGTTGAGGTCTGACCCAACGTCTGCCTTCTTGAGTGCCCTTAACCCTACTGGGTCTCAAACGCCCCTATCAGTTAGCACCCGTAGCTCCATGGTGGTAAAGAGAATCACATCAATTCTCCCACAATAACCCATTTTACAAATGGGACAAGCTACGTTCAGGGAGGCCAAGGAGCCTTTTCAGGAAGTCCCGGGAGCTGGGGTTTGGATCCCAAGGCATCTTCCTCCAGGGCCCTTGCTCTTAACCACTGTGCTAATCCTCGGTGCTGGATTCAATGAAATGTCTGTGGTTAGGCCTCACCCAGTTTAGAGCCCCTGTAAATGCAAGCTCTCCCCCCCCCACACACACCCCAGAATTCATCCAGGAACGAGGCTGTCCAGCCGCAAGTCAGGGGGGATGCTTCCTCCTCCCAGCCCTCCCCCGGCTCCCAGCTGCTCCGAAGCGCTGGTCCCTCCCGAGAGGACTGGAGCCTGGCAGGATGTAGCCGACTCGGCATCCACCAATCACACCCTCAATGTTGATGTTGTTGATTAAAACCCTCCGGCCTGACCAACCGTGCCCTGGTTCCTGTTCACCCATCTGTCCCTCTTTCCGCCTTGCTTCCCCTCTCAGCGAGGGGATGAAAACTTGGACAGGTGGTGGCATTTGTTCTATTGTTCCCAGGAGCAAAGAGGCCTCTGAATTATTTATTTGTAGAACAATTGAAAGGGAGCACTCACCGGCCAGGGCCACTCGGGAAAGTCTGCAGATGCAAATGGCAGGAGCCTGTCCCGGAAACAGACCCTCTGCTTGCCGAGCTGGAGGGGACCTGAGAGGTCACTGAGCCCTGTGGTCCTCAGCCCGGCTGCCTATCAGAATCCCCAGAGGAGTGTGGGAAAATCCGTGCTCAGGCTGCGCCCGGGGACGTGACTGCATTGCAACCCGGGCATCAGCATTTGTAAAGCTCCCAGCTGCTTCCAGTGTTCAGGCGGGACTGAGAACCCTGCCTCATCCTCTGTTTATTAACGGGGAAACTGAGGCCCAGAGAGAGGTGGGGGCCTGCCAAGGTCCTGCCGCCCAAGTGAAAAGGGGGGACTCGCTTGAGAAGCTCATGGGGGAGCAGGCACTTAACCTTCATTATCTCATTTAAACCATCTGATGGCTGAGGAGGTAAGAAAGGCAGCCGTAATCACGATAACCTTCATTTCACAGGTGAGACACCATCGCAGGGAGGAAGTCATGTGGCTAAGGCCCCTGGTGTAGACTGAGCTGGGTGCTGACCCAGGCATCAGCTACCAGGCTCTTTCTTGCCCGGGCATTGCTGACCTGGCGCCCAGAGCTTCTCCTCTCCTGGCATAGCCCAGTGTCTCGGGTTCAGACCATTTTAAAGGGGCCGCCTTGCCTCTTTTTCCTCATTCAGGACAACTGGGAGCTTTAAAAAGAAAGAGAAGGGATGGTCAGGACCGGCTGAGCCTGGAAGCTTCGGGCGGGTGAGAGAGTGGGGGATTTCAGCACACACATCTCATGTTGGGGTCCTGGGGTCCCCATATGAGTCTGGAATTGGGGGGGAACCTTCCCCTCCCAAGCCTGACCCAGGTCCTCCAGAGCTCTAGCCCAGAGCCTTCCCCAAAGAACCAAGCCCCACAGCCCACACCCACCCTCTCTCTCATTTGGGTTTGCATCTGGCACTTGGGTTTGAGACCCTCACTGTAGGGCCCGCACCAGCCATGTCAGGATCACTTGGGAGCCCGTTAGAACAGCAGGTTCTGCCCCTGACCTGCTGAGTCAGAACTCCGGGGAGGCCCGGCCACCACCTGTGTTTTAGCGACCCCTCCGGGTGTTTCCGACACGCCCTCCGGTTTTCCAGCCGCTGCTTCACATCCTTGCTGCTCCAGCAGTGGCCTGTCAGCCAGTGGCATCGACTTCACTGGGGTTTTTGGAAAAGCAAATCTCAACCCCTCTCCCCCGCCCAGTCTTACTGGATCCAAATCAGCATTTTAATGAGAAGCTTCATGCGCACTTGAAAGTTTGAGTCTCTGCTTTAGGATGTCCTCAGCCTTGAGTGTGAGGGTCACCTCCCTCAGAGCAGAGGCCACCCCGCTGTTGAGCGTGTCCATCCCACCCGCCCTGTGTCCCCTCCAGGATAGAGCTGGGTTGAGGTCAGCTCCCCATTGTTGTCAGTCCCAAGTGCTTCCCTGTTCCTTCTATTCCTGACCCTTATTCACAATCCAGGAAACCCTTCCTTAAACTCCAGCTAAACTCATTGTCAGCGCTACTGCTTTCATTCTGAAACCCTAAGTGGTTCCACCCCCCCCCCCCCCCCCCCCCCCAGTTTGGTTCCATAACATTAATTTTACGGTGTCCCTGGAGTGGGTCCAAAGCAAAGTTTTATGTGCTGTGATTACACAAGGTGAATTGTCCTGAGTCTGCTTAATGAAACAGGGCCTGTGCTTAATGATTCCGTGGGGAACTGAGTCCAGTGAAGCTATTAATCAGGCCCCGTTCCTCCCATCCACAGGAAGGGGGAGCCGAGTGGCCAGGCCCACGTGCGCGACAGTTCCGGCGCAGCCAGCCCCCGTGCCCAGTGGTCCGTGGCTCAGTGAGCCTTCGTTGCCCAGTTTGAAGGCAGCAACCCATTACTGGAAACCCTGAGCTAATCAAGGCTTTTGTTTTTTATTTTTATCCTTCTCCTTTCTAACGAAGTAGCTTTAAGTGAGGGATCTGTGCCAGGGGGGCGGATACAGCTGCTGCCCAGACTGCCTGGATATCACATGTGGTCTTGGGGGGAAGCTCTGACCTAAATGATGGGGCCTGGGGGGCACCTCAGAGATGCTGGGGGCCAACATTTCTCTCCTGTATCCCAGGCCCTGCGCGAGGGCCTTGGTAAATCTCACTCCATTTCATCTGCACAGCATCTAGGACGCAGTCACCGTTTCACAGATGGGTAAACTGAGGCTCAAGGACATCGACTAATGTTCCCAAGGTCACACAGCTAACGTGGAGAGGAGCTGGGTTTTGAACGCAGGCAGTCTGACTGCAAAGTCGTCATAGACAACATCGGGAGAGAAGAGCGCCGGAGCTGAAAAGATCAGGAGCTCAAAGGGTTTGCTAGGAGGGCAGGAGCCAGGCTCAGCCTAGGGTGGATGTGGGTTCGAATCCTGCCTTGGATACACTGTGTGGCTTCGTGCTTTGAGCCTCCGCTCTCTCCCCTGTGTGTAAAATGGGGCTAGTACTAGTAATTCCTACTCTTCAGGCTCCTCGTGGGCACTGCATGAGGTAATGCCTGCACATTGCCCAACACAGCCCTGACTCACAGTGGGTGCTTAGGCCACACACGTTTGCGTCCCACGGAGGTGTGCAATCAACAAGGAGGCCAACCCGCTGCGGGACCCGGCCACCACGCCCCTCCCTTTTCTTTGAGGACCACCTTGCAGCCCTCTTCCAGCGACCACTTGCGATGGTCAGAGTGGCCAGGCCCGGAGTCAGGATCTGTATGTCCCTGGTGACTGAGCGCTGTCTCCATCCCCAGGGGCTTCTGCCACGGGAGCAGCAGTTGTCCTGAATCACCGGGGATGCTGGGAGGTGACTCGGGAGCAGGGAAATTCTAAAAAAAAAAAAAAAATAGTGAAACAGACTATGTTCATGCTAAATTTTCTCTAATCACCCAGATACATCTGGTCTCAACCCATTATAACAGTGTAGGCCCAATTAGCCAGATACATTGTAAATAATCTATTTTAGGGATAAAGAATATCCTTCTCACCAGCATAAATACTTCCCCAGCAGTCAGGGTGTGCCAGCAGGATCTCTCGGGTAGCGGGAGCCCCACCACAGAGCCTTGTGTCTTCTGCAGACAAAGAGGAGTCCTTTATCACGACTCGGGTGGGCGGCTGGGAATTTCAGTTCCTCTCAAGAACTATTTATTGAGCCCCTGCTGGGTGGGAGGCAGTGGGAGAATGTAGGGGCGAGGCTGCTGGTGCCTTCGAAATAACAAAAGAGCAAGATCAGAACCTGGAATCAGCCAGGCCTGGTCTGGATGGTGCTCCCTGGCTGTGTGGCCTTGGGCAAATCACTTCATCTCTCTGGGCCTCAGTTTACCCAATGGTGACAGTGAAGAGTAGTCCTTTCTTTCCAGGGTAGTCGTTAGGATGCACTGAGATCACGGGGATCCATCACCCAGCAAGGGGTGCAGACTTAGTTATTAAGTACCAGCTGGGCTCCCCAGCAGGGCGGAGGAGACTCACTGACACTCCTTCCATAAACTTTTCCTTCTGGAGGGAGCACCTGGCATTGTCCTCGTGGAAAGCAGTGGGTCTGGCTTCAGGGTTTCGGAGAGCCTGCCCCATGGTTCTCCAGCTTGGCCTGGCCTCCCTTCCTCTTTCCCCGCCTCCTCCTGGGCTGGCCTCCCTCCCTCTGTCCCAGCCTCCTCCTGGGCTAGCCTCCCTTCCCCCCTCCCCAGCATCCCCCCTGGTTCCCTCTGTAGTTACCCAGCTTCTCTCTGGGTTCAGCCATCCCAGGGGCTGGCTGGCTGTCTCTTTGGGGTCCTCTCCAGGGCTCCCCAAGGAATTTCCCGCATTCGGTTATAGCCTGACTTTCAAGTCAGACGATCCCCAAAATACCTTCCCAATTGTGGTGACAGTCCATCCTGTCCTTTTCCAAACCTAGCAAGGGGAGTGTGGCGATCTACCAGGAGGTGAGGGGTTCTCACTGCTGTGAGTGACAGCGACCACTCAGACCCGGGTCCCGGGAGCCCCTCCACCCGCTGACTCGGCCCGCCCTCCTCTCTCCACAGAGTGGCCCGAGTTCGTGAGGAACTACGCCCCGTGGTGGGCCACGCACACGCTGGACTGGCTCAAGTTCGGCAAGAAGGTGCTGGTGGTGCACTTCGAGGACCTGAAGCAGGACCTGTTCGTGCAGCTGGGCCGGATGGTCCGCCTGCTGGGCGTGGCCGTCCGCGAGGACCGGCTGCTGTGCGTGGAGAGCCAGAAGGACGGCAACTTCAAGCGCTCAGGGCTGCGCAAGCTGGAGTACGACCCCTACACGGCGGACATGCAGAGGACCATCCAGGCCTACATCAAGCTGGTGGACGCGGCCCTGAAGGGGCGGAACCTCACGGGCGTGCCCGACGACTACTACCCCAGATGATGGGCCCGCCGGGGAGGGGCCTCGAGACCCCCGGGGACCCCGCCCACCCGTCTGGCCCCTTTTTGGTCTGGGGACAGCCCCCTCGGCTGCTGCTGGCCTTCAGTGCGTTTCCTGCGTGACACAGGAGCCTCAGGGGACAACCACCTGCTCACAGCCCTTCACAGCCCAGGAGGCCCCTGATGGGGGAGCCCCAGCCACACAGGCTTCTGTCTCCCACGGCCCTGCCCCCACCACTCTGGTTCTCCCCGTGGGAGGGCGGGCTCCTGGGTGTCCCGGAGACTCGGGTGCCTCCCACGGTGCTGAGGACCTGGATGCTGGGAAAGGTGCCCCCGGCGCTCCGCCCTCCGGGCTGGGCTCGCGCGGGCTCTTCTCTCCAGGCAGCAGCGAGCAGCCCAGGTTCATCAGGCCACTTGGGTGGGAGAAGGGTTGCTGGAGGTTTCTCTCTAGCGTCCCGTTTCTGACACTCCCGGTGGGTGGGGAAGCCCCAGTGCTCGCAGGAAGTTCACGGGCACCACCAGGTAGGGTCCCTGCATCACGAGCCCACCCCCAGGTCACACTGCTCCTGAGGACCGAGCCAAGGTCAAATTCTGCCCTTTCCTCCCCCGCTGGGCCCAGGAAGTGACCTGGGGATCCCTGGTCCCATGTCCGGGGTTCTCCGGGCACCAACAGTTATCCCAGCAGGATGGCCGAGGGCCCGTGCAGACTCTGAGTAAGAACGAGAGCCCTGTCACACGTCGCTCCACCACGGGTGCGGCACGTGGAGCTCACACTGCCTCTGACCCCCGCCGACGGGGCCTGCGCTCTCCGGGCGAGAGAGCAAGGGTGCTCCAGACCAGGTGGGACCAGACCCAAAAGAGACCCAGCTCCCTTCCCGCACCATCGGCCTGTCGTGATCACAGTCCCAAAGGGGTGGCTTCCCGCTCCAGGCCTTTGAGGAATGAAGCGAATGCAATGGCTCTTCACTTCCGCACAGACGCCGCTCCCCGAAGCTGAGTCATCAAACCAAAGGATTCCTGGGGACCCCGTGTCCCCTATCCTCGATCTTTGAAAGCATGGATCAGGATCCCTCCGCTTCCCCACCTTGGAGACCAGCGGCTTCCCACCTGCGCTCCTGCACCGCCCCCATCTCGTAGATGCAAAAGCCATAGGTCACAGCTCTTCACTGTTCTGTCCGGAGCACCCCCTCCCCAGCAGCCCCCCTGAAGCCTTGGGGTGCAAGGACAGGCTCACTCCCAAACAGCCAGGAGGCCATGGAGAAGGCGAGCGTAAAGAGATATATTTTTTTAAGAGGAATATGACTAATACATTCCGCCCCTTGGAAGCCGGCTGTGCAAAGCGAAGGGGCCAGGGGCTCAGACCTGCGATTCTCGCCCCGAACCCCTCCCCTGTCGGCTGTGGGTGACCCCAGGGCCCCCCCCCAGGGGCTCTGAATGTATTTTGTACCAAGTTTCTTTCTCCCAGGCTCATGTCTAGCCTTTGGGGAAGCCTCCCCCACTCCCACCCACAGGCCAGCTCGCTCTGGGAGCCTCTGGGCCCACGGCCTGGGCCAGCTCTTGGCCGGCGGTCACCTCGGGCCACGGGCCTCCGTCTGAAGATTCCTCAGGTCAACACCATCATTAAAAGTGAGTTTTGTTGAGAATTCCACCCGTGGCGGAGTGTTGTGTGAGGCGCGCTCACAGTGGGGTGTTCTTCGGGGGTGTCTGGGTGAGTGAGAATGTTCTGGGGTGCACACCTGTTTGTGCCTGGGTGACTCTGGAACTGCCTGTGGAGAACTGTGTGCCTCTGTGTGAGACACTGTCCCGGTGGCTGCCCCCCCCCCCCAGCACAGGTGCGCCACTGCCCGTTTCTGGGGGGTGTGGGGGTTCCTGTGCCTGGAGTCACGCACGCGTGGAGGAGGAAATGCCGGTGTGTGTGAACCTGGGCACAAGAAGGTGCCTGTGGAGGGACGTCTTCTACCC